GACGTGGAGAGCGCTGCTTAAGCCTCGGAGAGCTGCTTGGCCGCACGGCTGCGAGTGGTGACGCCAGCAGGCAGGTCCACAGCCGCAGCGCAGCTAGGCTAGCTGCCAGCGGCGGCGGCCTGGAAGTAGCCCAGCCAGCAGCCGCGAGCCACGCTGCACTGACGGCGGCGCTACCTGAACACTCAAACCCTCTCTAGGCGACCTCCCTCCATCACCTGCACGACATGGCTGCAAATTAAAATTACAGGATCCACAGTGCAGAATGCACTAGCAGTCGACAGCCATCTGTGCCATGCAAGCAATATGGCAGATGTTCACAGCTTGCTTCGTTGCGGAGCACGCCCCTGGCTTTCGACCCGCCGCTGCTCCTGGGGCTTTTCAAACTGCTGCTGCTTCGTCCGCCGCTGCTCGGCCACCAGGGCGCGCATCGCCGGCCCCGAGTCCGAGTGTGGCACCTGCAGATGACGGGGCAGACCACCGGGTGGGTTCCCACGCGCTGACACCTACTCATGGTTGCCATAGGGCTCGCACAGATGCTGCTGTGTTTGCGCAGGGCTCAGGAACAGATGGTCCGCACAATGCATGGTGATGGTGCCCCTGGCAAGACCAGGCATGTGCACACTTTCACGCTTTATGCAAATGCCCCCTCATCTTTCAGGCCCTGTCTTAGACTCAAACGAATAAGGTCGGCGAGCCATCCCCATAACAAAACGTAGCCCCAAATCACCAGCGCCTTGACGTGGGTGCCCTGAGCAACCAGCGCCCCAGTGGTCGCGTCCCGAAGGCTCACGACAGCTGTGCCGATCTGCTTGCCAATCTGTGCTTGGGTCAGGGGGGAGGGTCGCATGCATGGCGGCTCTTGTGGGCGCAGTCAGCAAGGGGGGTCTAGTTAAGCAGAAGCCTCACAGCTAGGATGCCCGCTACGTGTACGGATGCCATGCGGTAAAGAAGCCTATGCCCCCCGCCCGACACGATGCCAATCCAGGCTACCACACAGCAATAGTTGCTGAAAGCACGCGCCGCACTTAGGTCTGCCCTACGGCCTGCCAGGTCTGCCTGCATTATGCGAAAACTGTCTGCGGCGCGCAGCCCCACCCACCTTTGCCACAGTTGCCTCTATTTCCACCACCTGCATAGTTGTTTATAGAGGTGCAACGCACACGCTGGACGTTGTGGGGGCACGCATGCCAAGCGGCACCAGCCGTATGCATGCATTGGTGCTGACAGCCGCTTGGCACTCCAGGTATTGGCAAAGCCCCAACCTGCTGGTGCTGCCTGGAGGCAGTGGAGCTCCTGCACCGTGTGCGAAGCAGCACTGCGGCGCTTCATGCGCGGCCCACGGTGCTCCAGTGCTCACGTCGCCGATGGGCATGGGGGCAAGGTAGTGCGTGGAGATGCTCAGGCTGACACCACCACGGTCGGCCTGCGTGATGATGGCCGCGCTGCCTATCACGTCCACCAGAGTGGCTGCACGCATGGTCGTCATGGCGCGGGCGAGGGCGTAGGGTTGTGCGTCAAGGGAGGGGTGAGGCGGCCATCAGCTGTGCCGGCTTGCTGCCCGGCCGGTTTCTGCTGCTGCCCTTTCCACAGGCTAACCGAGATGTCACAGCGCCTGCCACTTCACAACGGCTGCACAGCTGCTGAATAACTGCTGTTGGCAACCCACCAATGCAGCCGCCGTGCATGGTGCCATATCGGTTCGCGTGCTTGCGCGCCGCCTGCAGCCTGCACACGATGCCGCCGTCCCACGCGCGCTCCAAGGTCAGGCCATCCAGCACCGGCTCGTCGTAGTTTTGGCCGCCACGCAGCAGCTCCAGGAATGCCTGGGCTCTCTCCAAGGGCGTCGGCGGCGATGTGAGGGTCACCTCCATCCTAAGGCTCGCAGCCGCGGCGAGAGCGAGTGTGCACTTGCGCCCGGCGCGGCGGCGACGCAGCAGCGACCGCAAGTCCCTGGCGCGCAGTGTAACTTCCGTGCGTAACTGCGTAAATAATTGATCGTGTCAGATCGATGCGATGATTGAATAACGCCGCAGCACACGGGGAAGATCGGCCCGTGCTCAGATACCGCTACTGTATAGAGTCAAACAGTTCCCATACAAAACAAATCATGAAAAAGCTAATGTTTGCGTTCATGAGCGTCACGCGCCGCAGCACATGTCAGGGGCATGTCAGCATGTGTTGAATGTTGTCACGGCGTGTGTGTGACTCACCTCAGAGATAACTTCGGGTAGCATGACCACTGGACCACGGCGCAAAGTTGAAGAACTCTACCATGATGGCAGCGTTGTCCTAAGGTGAAGCAGGTGCATTGCTACACCCTGCTCATGATGAGCGGCTCTTGAGAAACAAACACCTGCGCTTCTGCCCGCCAGTCAGCCCCCGTCCCACCGTCGCCCCTGCAATATCTCTGCACTCGATTGGCGCTTCGCAAAATTCAATTGTCAGACGTAGCTGGGTACTAGTTTCTGTGCAACGTCAGAGGCCGCTGACTCCACAATTGTCTACCCGGAATATGCAGCGGCAGCAGTACACCTGCATCCGCCGACAGGTGGTTTGGTAGCAGGGGATGCCTCTACATCAGAAGTTCCACATAGGCTTCTGGTGTAACCGCGACACAAAGGAGGTCAGATTTACAACCGCGCCAGCCACTCCATGGTCGAAGGATGCAGATACCAGGGATAGCCATGGCGGCGCATGCGAGCCGCCCCGAGCACAACTCGACATACGCGAACGGCCCTGAAGCCGGCGAAGTAAGATAAGGCCGGAGGGGCAGAGGAGCAAGGGTGGGGTCCCAGAAGAGGAGCACAGGCAGATGAAACAAGAAGAGGGACGTCACTTGCCCAGCAAGAACCCCATCACTGTGGTGAAACAATGGTACGAGGCAGCCCGTGGCTTGCAGCCTTGTGGTGAAGGCCAAGGGCACCAGTGTCACGGCTGCGGTCAACCACATGGCGGTGATTAAGCACCGCCCCGAACAAACTGTTTCAAAGCGAGTAAACACACGTGGTCCAAACCAGGCTCCGTTCGCAACACGGTGCTGTCCAGCAGCAGGAGCCAAGTGTCAAGAGGGAGGCCACCTCTAATCACCAAGTTCCCAGGACAGCAATAACGGCCATCGGTGCACACGGAGCGGACCTCTGCTGCTGTTGCCTTCCGGCATGTACGCTGCTGCCTACATGGATTTGCTAAGATCGCTGGACCCTGCAGGCCACACGTGCGTCTCCCTCCATCATCCTCTCACGCATCCGCCCACATGAGCCCCCGGCCACCCCCATGCTGAGGGGATAGCCCGCTGTCGACGGAGCCAGCACAAATCCCTATGGATTTCTCATGAAACATACGAGCCAAGCATGGCGGGGGGCGGGCTTCAACCAGACCTGGATTTCGGTCACCGCCGCTCCTTGCGCGCGACCGCCACCATCGCGATGTAGGTCAGCAGGTGCGTGGTGAGCCAGTACCCGGCCAGGATCCCAAAGGTCGCGCGGAAGCCGCGGCCAAAGTGGAAGTACTCCAGCACAGCGCTGGCGTCGGTGACGCAGTCCGGGCCGGGGTTGGTCAGCCCGTTCTGCACGGCCTTGAGGCTGAGCAGCTTGGTGTTGGGCAGCAGCTCCTTGAGGAAGTGCATGCCCTTGGGGTCCATGCCGCCAGAGCAGGACAGCGTCATGCCCTTGAACTGCACCACCGCCATGCCCTCAAACGCGTAGTATAGCGCGCTGATCCACCTCAGGTGCGTGAGCCACTGCAGGGAGGCCTCCTTGAAGGTGATGAAGAAGTTGTTGAACAGCAGCTGCACCGCGGTCCAGGCGATGCTGTACATGAAGGCCACGTCCTGGGTGGGCGCGACGACCGCGCACAGGTGCATCACCTGTGGTGGGACGGACAAAGGGTGGCGGGGCAGTGGGGCAGGTTTTCAGGGCAAAGGGGTTGGCTGAGAATGCAGGTGTGCAGGTGCTCAGTTAAACAATGTGCCAGTGTGGATTGTGTGAAACAGCTTGCTGCCACCCTAAACGCAATCGTCATTTCTGACATGGCCAGCGCAAGTCTGCTGCAATCGATTATTTTCAAAGTGGTGCGCCCTTGGACGACCTGGAGACCCGGACGCTGCCGTGCCATGCCCTCATCAACCGCAGGGCACCCCCTCACCTGCACTGCAATGAGGCTCATGAGTGTTGTCAGCGTGCCGTTGGCCCAGATGGCGCCGCCAGTGTTGCG